GCATATTTATTTCAATTGGAGCAGAAACACGCAAAAAACACGTTATTTAATCTTGAAGACGAAGAGCTGACTCATTACGGCCAGTCATTATCATCGATTAACTATTTTGGTGATGGATTAGACAGCGGCGATGAAGGAGAGGGAAAAGGTGTGACGACGGCATTAATGGGACATTAGGGCAAACAATTGATGGTTTACGAATTAACAGATAATAAAGAGTTTTTAACAACTTGCCATATGTTGTAGGCATTATTGATGAAGAAACGGTCGCGCGAACGCATTTTGGTGGATTCAATGCAGGAGACAATGATGATAAGGTATTGAAACCACGGATGTGTTTCAAAATTACGTTTTCATACCTAATTTACATATTGTTGGTTTTCTTTTTTAGAATTCTCAGCGTAGAAAACAAAATTCGGAAATTTGGAACGAGCTTATTGCAAAGAGTAAATTTCATAAAGTAACGAAGTCGATCCTTTTTCGCTGTTATCAGTCTATTTTTATTTACATATCTCAATCCAGTTGCATCTAATTCCAATTCTGTTCTAGTACGAACGTCAACTGGAAAAAGAAAAATACCTTGCTGAGGAGGAAGAATTGGACAAAGAGTTGGATGACATCAGAGGATTGCTTTTTGAATCTTCAAATCGAGTAACAGGGAAGATAGAAGAAAACAGAGAAAAGGTAATTTTGTTTAGAGTGCTCTTGCTTCTGTTTTGGTTCCCCATTTGTAAAAAGAACGGTTTTGTGTTAATTTGCTACATATTGGTTCTGCTTGAGTTTTGATATTATTCCAACTATTATACTTTTATTACGATTAAATCTGTTTTGCCTCTTTTTATTCCCGTTTCTCAGTCTCTCGACGCACACCACGATTCCGTTGATTCATACGACCGCTTTGTCCGCGAACTAGCTTTTGAGAAACGCGCTCGACCCACAAATCGTACTAAAACAGAAGAAGAACTCTTATTGGAAGAAAAAAATAAACTGGAACGATTGGAACGAGCAAGGAGAAAAAGAATGTTAGGTGTGGATGAGACGAGTGAGGAGGAGGAGGAGGATAATGATGAAGACGACAGAAAAAGGAGAAAGAGACGAAAAAGGAGGGATATCGAAAGTGAAAGCGAAAATGAAGAAAATGAAGCAGTTACGGTTGGATTTGACGAGGGGATTAGTAGGGATGGTGACGACAACGATGACGACGACGACGACGACGATGATGATGATGATAATGATGACGACGACGACGACGACGACGCCGACAATGATGACATTTTTGAAGACTTATCAAATGATTTGTCCGCTTTGGATGATATGAATGACTTTTCATCAACTTCCCGTTCCGTTGTTGACAACTCCACCTCCTCGACTCCTTCAGCATCTAAACAGTTGCCTGCCTCTCTTCCGTACACTTTTCCATGTCCGCAAACATACGAGGAATTTATGAGCGTCCTACGTGGAGTAGAGTTAAAAGATGTGCCAACGGTAGTGCATAGGATCTGTGTCTTGCATCATCTTAAACTTGATCCCAGTAATAAAGAAAAATTGGAGGCAAGTGAGTTACATTGTTGTGGTAGGCACTGGCTGAAGTACTTACTAATAAATTTTTTCTTCTTCCTGATTTTTTTCGCTATTTATTATGCTGGCCTACATTTTTACATTATGTACATCAGATATTCTACCCAATATTATTAGAATACGTTCTTAATATCGCAAACGAAGGGCCCCTTCCAACTGCATTTTTGTCCTCTCTGACTACACGTCTGTTCTCTCTCACACACATGCTTCCACATATAACCCGCCGGACATTCTCGTCTCAGCTCTCGTTGGCACATTCTCATGCTTCCGTCACGATGTCTGATTTAACCCTTTTAATGTTAATTTCCAAACTGTTTCCCACAACAGACTTCCATCATCCGATAACAACTCCAGCGATGATACTAATGGGACAGTGTCTTTCAAAAAACAAGTTAAACACTATTAAGGACATTGTTATAGGACTGGTTATTTGTAGCTTGGTCTACGAATATGTGTGTATAACTAGAAAAATTGTTCCTGAAGTTGGGAATTTTTTGTGCTCGGTGTTAGTTGCATTTGTTGCTGATAAAGGTTTCGAGGATTCGGAAAGCGGAAATGGGGAATGCCCAGAGAGTGAGAATTTGAAAATAAGAGAGTTGCCTGGTGTGTTCCCTTTAGTTGGGAAAATTGGTATGATGAGAAAAGGGAAAGGAAATTGGAGCACGATAGTGCCTAAAGCTGTGAATGTTCCTCAAGTGGTGAATCGGCGCGGTGAGGATGGAGACAATTCTAATGATGAAATGCGGTTGGTACTCCAGTTTGTCTTCTGCTGTCCTTAACTATTTCTGACCGCTTCTCATTCTCTTGTAGTGTTTGTATTTTATCATCAGCCATTTCTCTAGTTGGGCAATTCGCTAAGTTATATAACTCAACGGCCGCATTTATCGAAATTTTCGAGCCTATGGTGTTGTTTTTGAAGCTAATCCCCGTGGATGAATTGTCTAACGTTATGATGGTGAGTATGATGTTATCGCTATGATATTTGTATCTATGCTGCAGAAGATTAATTACTTAAACTGTGCAGGAGAAGCTGTTATCGACGAAAGACGCACTCAATAGAATGTTGCGATTTGCAAAAGACGCACGTAAGCCTTTGGCGTTGCAGCATCATAAACCCATTCCTCTTCCAACGTATCGTCCTAAGTTTGACGAGAAGTAAGTAATTTTTGATTATGAGATTCTTATATGTTATGTATTTTCTAACTACTTTTCTTCTGTATAGTTATTCGCTTGATCGACATTATGATAGTCGAGAGATGGCGCCGATGAATAAGTTGAAGGCACAATATAAACAAGAGCTCAAGGGAGCTATACGTGAATTACGCAAGGACGCTCGCTTCCTTGCCCATGAGACACTAAAGAAGGTTAGAGAGAGTGATGAGTCGTATAGAAAGACAATTAAGAGTGTCATGAACAAATTGGAGAGTGAACAGCATGAGAAGAAATTGTATGACAGAGAGAGGAAAAAGTGAGAGTGATAATAGAATAGTAATAGTGAGATTGTATATAACTGCATTATTTATGTCATTTCGAGAGGCAGGAGGCAGACAAGTGGTTGATAATATTTAATGCGATGTTTTCACACTCTGTTAACGCGATGCTAATAATGGAGTGTTAAAAATCATTTCCTACAATGGAAGAAAACGCTTGACCTTGCATTATGGTACAATAATGGAAATTAGACGCGTCAACACTTATCGATATTGCATGTAGCTGCATTATTTATGCATTTTTAGAGAATCAAACTTCCAATCACGTGATTATTGTCATAGGGCATATATTCCTTTCGCGAAGAACTTTTATTGGAGCTGGTATCAACAGAGTTACGAACATCAGCCATCAGATTAATATGGAATTTTGGACCGGTATTAAACAAAATTCGGGGTATCAAAAAAAACCATCGTACGATTCAAAATGATTGGTGCACATGATTACCGTTTTGGAAATGAGGCTTTCAACCAGTTGTGATTTCAATTGGCAGAAACCCCACCTTTCCCCAATCCTTTTGAGAAACAAAACACTCTTAAATCAAACAATTACTGAAGCAAATGCAGCTCTATGGACAACAACTCACTCCAAAGATATTCATTGAGCTTGTTAGCTCAAAGGCTTGTCAGCTCCAAGGCTTGTCAGCTCCAAGCAAATGAACACTTTTACACCATCACCAGAGAAGAAGGAAGCCAATCTGAGCCTACTTCCGAAGAGTCAGCCACCCAGCTGCTACTCCTCAAAGAACTCACCTGTTGGGGACAAGCCACCTCCACCATCACCGAAATCTTCGCAATCACCACTGCCATCAACAACTCTTATGCTTGATAAGAGAAACGTTTTATCATTGCCAGGAAAAAAAATGAAAATTAAAATTCTCATTTATCGGGAAGCTGTATTCAAAGCATAAAAAGCAGCTTTTTTATTAATTATATTAATGTGGAAGTGCAGGTGAATTTACAATTCAATTATGTATAACCAACACAACCCTATATGCACAAGTTGTTTGATTGCTCCACAATCCAACTAGAGCAATATGACATCTTCAACTTGGCAAGGGCCTACAGAATTAACACTGCGACCCTAAAGAATAGCGGGGAAAGGCTTACCCAAAGAAGACATAAATCAGTACAGAATCATAATCAGCAACAAATCACCATCGAATGGGACTCAGACTCAGACTCAGATGGAGAGTCAGTCTACCATTGCAACCTGGTCCTCAAAAGAAAAGATCATAGTACTGGAACAGAAAAGAACAAGAGGAAGCAGACTTCTGATATCTCAGTTGACTATGGAATGAGCCTCAACAGTTCAAAGAAGAGGGCCATAGAAGAAGAGGACCAAGCAAGTGGGAGATTGGAGAGCCCAACCACTATTACTATCCCAAGCACCTCCAATCAAATATTAATATTATCTTAATCTGTCTATAATAATAATATAATAATAAATAAAAGCAAATTGTCACGCATACCACGTAGTGATAATTGACTGTTTGGTGAACACGTTTACTTGTTCTAAAGATGTGATTACGTTGTGTAAACGTACAAAAAATGAAATGCACGTTCTTCTAACTATTACTATTGGTTCTATAATGCGAAAGTATTCATATAGCAGAAATCGCATTTCTGTTGTAAAAAGGGGATGAAGAATCCTATCCAGCAGACACGCTTATTCCAATTTGATACAACCGAAACGGGGAAAAAAAAAGCTTTTCTATAAAAGTGAGTAGGCTGATTAAAGAACCTATACCAACCGAAAAAGTAATAAGAAATAATTTTTATTGTGTATTTTTAAATTTATGATGTAGTTTCTACTGGTATAAACCACCTACAATAAATACTCTTTTTCAGTGCAAATTATTACTATAGCTTTTTGATAATCAAACGAAAACTTTTAATCCAGTGCCATTAGCCCCAATCTGCGACACATTGCAGACAACACAGAGACTGCCTTGATGCTGAGGCAAATATGATGCACGACAATATGGGCATTGTACTGATGGGCTGCCTTTGTAGATTGGTGTATAAGAAATGGCACACACAACAAACGGATTATACTGGTCGTAATCAAGTGCAATCTCATCACGCGGATTTTTATCGCAGAGAGATTGGATTTGACGTGCCTAATGTGTAAAAAATTTTCAGTATTTATCAAGTCACACACAAACATGTTTGTCATTAACTTACCTGAGTTGCTACTTGCGCTGGCGGTGCTAACTCTAATAATCGTCTAGCAAACATCGGGGCAGTTAAGCAATTCTTTGCTTTATAGTTTAGAGTCATTGCGGATCGCAAACTTAATTGCAAATGAGCAGGCTGCAATCGACTGTGTGTAAAGTAGGCAGCTAGTTCAAGTGCACGCTTTGTACTATCCGGATCATCTGCAGGAAACTTCTTACGCGTTTGTTCCATGGACAATCCAACGATATACTCGCGACATACATCAATCAATTGATTAACCTACGTATGAAAGATAAAAAGTCACATCGACGCGTATCATTCAAATTAGATCAGATTTAAAAAGTGCCAAACTCACCTCATCAATCTCGGACCTTTTCGTGACGGCAACTAACAGAATGGAATGAAGAATAGATCTAAACTGTATTGTGGCATCCTGGAACTTGCCTGCTGTCGTGGTCTTATATGCGTCTTGCAACTGGGTGGAAACGATATTTTGGAAATTGTATGCCAAAGCTGGTAACAAGCGACTCTTTTCTGTCTCCTCTGGGTTACGACGGACATTAAATGCAAGAGACGGAAGTGCCACATTGACTTGAAGGTAGGTTTTTGTAGACTGGAATGTTCGCAAAAAATGTTGCTTCAATGGAGCAAAGTTCACCGCTCCTACTTGTCGATTTAGCATCTAAACATATGATCACGTAAGCAGATATTCCAACATAGGGAAAGCGAAGGGGAAAAAAGGGTAAAAGGAAAATAAATTACGTCCATAGCATAAATCCCACTCCCGCTTACCTGCATAGCAGTTTCAAAAGACCCCGCAGCAACATGATCTGCCGCTAAAGGCGAATTATGCATCCACAACTCACTTTCGGCAGTTCCTGCTGTCGGTGGAACAAACTCACCCTGAGCACCGTTACTATTCTCTTGTGTCAGCGCTGTATCTAATTGAGTAGTCAGATCGGTATCGATCTCCCATCCTGACCCCTCTTCAACGTCCTCCCCTTCGGTTCTTGCCTCTGCAGCAATCTTATATGGATCGACTCCAAATCCGAGATCTTCTTCACCCCAATCACCACTGATTTCACCAACCTCTACACCATCGGCGAAATTTATGGGAGCAATTAAGGGGTTAGGATCGGATGCAGTGAAAGCTGAGTCGAAGAAGGATCGAGAGACGGTAAGCAATGGCCAGTTAACGTCATTATGACGAATAATAGGGATCGATGGTTTGAGTAGTTGACCCGCTGGTGGAAGGTCGGTTATGTCTTCGGAAGTGAGGCCTGCAGCAGCCAGTATTGCTTCGGCGTCTTCGGTTAGACCGTGTGATTGAGCAGTTAAGTAAGCTAAGGGATCTACACAAGAACATTAAATTAATTAGATGGAACGAGTTGGAAAACGCGACGAAAGTATGGTCAGCCGAGCTTTTTTCGTACATTGTCCAAATTCTTTCAACAGTCGTATTCGCTCCTCAACATCACCCAGGAATAAAGAGTTATGAAATCTTGACATGTTGTCATTACGCAGCTCTGCAATTTTCATCATCTTTCGCAGTTTATCCATATTTCCAGTGGCCAAATACAAGAAAGACAATCGATCAAAGTTTTTCACTCTTTGATAAGCCATTTCGACTATCTGCATATTGCAATTACTGATGAGTGAATATACTGCTTTGAAACAAATACTGCAAATCGATTTACCTGATAGTTGCCCTGACGAAGCGCCTCAGCACTAAGTTTATTCCAACAGTCTTCTCTATCCATGGATTTTGCAGTTTCTAATGCCACTTCTAGGTTTCCACACTCAAGAGCAAGATCGAAGCGAGTTTTGTCATCTCTTACAAAGTGTAATGCAATCTATACGATATAGGTATAGAATCAGTATATAAAATATAACAAATGCCTAGACAAGTTGCGCTTAATTGATTACCTCAGGATATCCCTTCTTTTGTAAATATGCGATGATAGCTTGCCCGACTAGATTGCTGTTCCTTATTATTTGCAACACCTCATCATAATTACGTTTGATAAGTGCAACTTTGAAGCGATATTCTGTTGGATCAATGCTAATGACACGTGTCTTCCCATCTCTATCAAGGCAATATACACTTTTCCCTTTGACTTTGGTGAGATAAACTGGTTGATCTAACGTACGGATTATGCCGCTGTCACTGTAAAATGATTGAACAGAAGAAGAAAGTTAAATGTGAATAAAACTAAGACAATGAAAATTGTTGAGTAAATGACTTACCCCTGAGGAAGAGCATATTTAATATGATTAAGTGTAGAATAGATAAAAATGCCCATGTCATCCCAAGCACCACTTTTAATTCTTATTGTCTCGTGTAACATGCAACTCTGTTCTAAATTCTTATTTGCAATAGTAATGGCTGTATAGAACAGAAGAGCAAATTAGCATCTTTTATCTCTTTAACGTTTATCGCGATAATAATACAACCACTCACTGTGTTTGCTCAAAAGCGCAACTTGACTGTGATCGGAAGACCAGAAGACATATTTTGCAAATGGCATTGTAATTTCATTGAGTGTCTGTCTTTGTTGAATGTCATATAGTATTACCGATTGCGGGGTGCTGAGCAATAAAAGGTTCCCGCTGCCTGCACTAAAAATTTCATTTACTGTCGCAGGAGGTTTAATTGTCTTTGTAGTTTGGTTAGATAAATCACGTATTTCAATTTGCTGTCATATGGCAAGAGAGAAAATATAAGTACTCATTAAAGTTATCAAAATGGCGATACATAAACAGACAATTTACTTGGCGTGTTTTGTCAAGTACAGCGAATCGATTGCGTGCAATGAATATAGCGGATGCACCAGAACCACGCTTGCTGTCACTTAAAGCTTCTCGTGGCTCACCGCTAAAGTCTTTGGGAAGATGTAATAAATCGTAGCCTCCACCTTCTGTTGGCTGATTTTAACAATATGCAAGAATTCCAATAAATAAATAAATGATGTGAAATAAATAGTCGAATTAGATTAAACAAATATTGTCACTTACGCTGGTAACAATGACAGCTTTTTCAGCAGGGTTGTAAGACAAGGAACGCGGTTGAATATATGGACCACCAATCTTACGAAGAGATAATACTGCCGTGTCTGAATCGGAATTAAAATCATAAACCCGTAGAACTTTATCTCGAATATAGAACAAACTATTCTGATACACAGCCGATGCGGGACGCTCTCGCTCCAGTTTAAATACGATTAATCCATTATCATGACCTGTATCACCCACGAAACGTTTCTGTTAATATACATATTTGTTATATTTATAAATGCAATTTTATTATTCTTACCAGCTGCAAATAAATTTACTTCAGGATGAGCTGTCAAAACCCAGAACCTATCATGTTCACGCCTGAATGTCTGTACCAACGTTCTCTTTGACATGTCCCACACACGAATGGTCTTATCTTCACCATCTGAAATAATTAATTCTTGTCTGGGATGAAACAATGCTGCCGATACATTATTAAAGTGTCCCCGACACGTATCAACTTCCCAAGCCTTTGTATCTAAAATAAACTTTCAATTATTAATACAGTCAAGAATCTGTTTAAAACCAACATGAACTGTTAAATATCTTAATCTGCACCATTCATTCTCCACAGTTTGATTTGCCGATCATCACCAGCAGATACAATAAGAGGCAAAGTAGGATGGAATATTGCCCAATTCACTCCTCTCTCGTGACCTTCAAGTACGTATTTCACTATTGCATCTGTACTGCCAAAGATATCTGCTTGAGCAGCAGCAGAACGGTGGAGGCTATCTTCGAACGTGATTGAGCTGGGGGCTGCATTTTTTTTCCGTAGGCCTATGAAAATGATGGAACAGTTAGCTTGATGGCTGAGTAAAATTAATAACTATTGTAACATAAGAAAAAACAATACAGAATTCTACTAACAATTGTAATGGCAATGCATATGACTGCCATTGCGACTGTTTTATTGTGACTATTAGTCTTTGCGCTATTACTATTCTCAATTGCCTGCATTCCCAACAGTCATTCTATAAGACTCTATCACATTGGACTCTATGTACATATATGTATATACTAATACACCAGATACAGAAAAATACCTGAAATGTCCCATACTCGCACAGTCTGATCTAAGGAAGCTGAAACAACCAAATCTTCTTTCGGATGAAATTGAGCACACATGACGTAATGATTATGTCCAGTCAATATGGCTATACAATTCCTCGACTGCCAATTCCATATTCTAATCGTTTGATCATCCGAAGCGCTCAAAATCCATGGATATTCGTGATGGAAAAACACCGTTCTCACGTAGTCAAGATGTCCATTCAAGGTAAATAAACACTTCCGTGTCTTATAATTCCACACCTTTATCTTGTAATCATCACCGCCGGAAACAAACAACGGTTGAGTAGGATGAAAGGCAATGCCACGTACGGGGCCTAGGTGTGGTGAGATTGGTGTTTCAATCTGTCAATTGGTGATTCGCGTAGGAATTTACGTAATAATATGTGTCATAACGACCACTAAGTTTGCTAATTACACTCAGATGACTACGTCGTAATCTTTTGAATGTTAAAATTACGCTCGAATCTTCTACTTGTGTCGCAGACAATACATAATATTGCTTGCATCGATCAAGTAGGCTACGTACCATCATGTTCATCAAAACGTTCCAGTACAGTTCCCATACGATAATCCCATAACTGTATGCACCCATTGTGTAGTGACGCTAATATCCATGGTCTTTTTGGATGGAACGCTATTCCCTTCACCCGGTTGCTTTTCGACTCGAACTTGTTCAATCAACAATTGGAATCAAGTCAGCGCACTAGTCAAATAGTAATGAAACTCAACAAGACAGAGGTAGTTTCCCAGCTTACCTTTGTTAACATCTGCATCTTAAAAGAGTATTCCTTTTTCCTCCCTCTAAAACTATCTTCAATATTAATATGTCAAAGCCTTGTAAAATGTTCACCACAGATTCGATCACCCAATGAAAATTAGGCGTGTTTTCAAAATGTCGGCTAAAGGGCGTAGTAAATTGGCACATTTTGGTTGGATAAAGAATTCATATGTTAAGCCTTTCTGATTATGATAGAACGCAATTCTAATTCTCTTTACATAACATAGATTCATACACATAATTTCACAATAGTAAACACGCAAAATGGCATTAAACTGGGCAATGATTTCGCAAGACGGCCGGAGTCTTGTTCCGTTACCCGGAGAGAAGGTTTTTTTCAGGTTGGGAATAGGAACAAGCATATGTCAAACATTACGATCTGTTACATTACGACTAATTGTTGATTTTTTAACAGTCAAGATAAAACTTCTGTCGTATTAGATATGGGCGGGTGAGTTCCTACGGCTACCATTTGTTCCTGAAACAGACTTGTCAATTAATCATACTTTATTTCTGATAACTGAATCTTTTCCCAGTGGGTACCCTGGAAATCCGGGAACATACAAAGCAGAAGGAATCACATACGTAACTAATAAACGGGTAATTATTTTGTTTGTCACAATCGTAGCCAACGTTTTCTGTTTGTTTGTATTCATAAATTGTGTTTATTTTCTTAAGGTTGTGTTCGTTAGTCGTCCGGCGGTAGCTCACTTCAAGTCACTAAGCATTCCATTGATGAACCTTCGCGACGGAAGACTACAACAACCATGGTTTGGTGCAAATTACTATCAGGCGTTTGTTCACCCGGTACGTTTGATAATGATCGAAGGTGTTAATGTGTTATTAAGCTGTATTCGATTTGCTGTCAAAAGCGAGAGTTTTCAAGCAACATAGTCTGATACAAAATTCCATAAGAACACCATTCATATGACGTTATCATTTTAGGTTGAGGGTGGTGGAATGCCATGTCCGGGTGGGCTGAAAATTACTTTTAAAGAAGGCGGTACGTAGCAGTTATTGAAGATCGTAAAACAATTCGCATAATATTATTGACAAATCATTGAGTTTACCCATTATTTCTCGCTATTTGCTTACTAACCAGGTGGTTTCGAGTTTAGCACAATGTTTAACGAAGCGAAAAACCGACTCTATGGTAAATATAAAATAAGAGATTCAGTGTTCTAACAACAAATCACCAAACGATTCAACTAGCGTCAATATCACCGCTTACTCTTTCGTGCTCTTGTAGAATACGAAGGTCATGCTCCACCAGATACAATAGAGCCTCTTCCACTTTACACACCACGCGCCACGTCATCTGAATCCCAGTCTGCAGATACCACTTCAACGACTGCCCCGTCCGGCTCCTCTCTCGCTGGAACAGCCTTACCAGCAATCTTCCCATACACCATCCCAACTCCCGAAGTCCACCCCGCTCCTCCGAACGACACGCCTTCAGAGACAAACAGAGAGATTACAAATCCATTTTTGAATCCTATATATTTCGGCGGAGATTCGAATGTGGATGCTGAGCTTGGACGGGAAAGTGAGAATCGAGAAGGGGGGAAGGGTGAATCCGGAAAGATGGCAGTGCCAGATGATTTGCCGCCGAGTTATGATGACATTGACAAATGAGGTTATGGATAAGTTTGTTGGTTGATGTTGACTTTGCGGAGAGGGTTCTTAATTTACTGTTAGTGCGTGTCTTCATTTAATTTTCACCAGTTAAATACTTATCGTCTGTTGTATAAGTTTATTAATAAATTCATTAAAGATAATCTGTAATCATAAGAACTGTAAAACCCGAATACTTGACATTCTTCGTGGAGACCAATTTATCATCCTTTCTATTCGATAATCACCTATGTTTCAATCTACCTTCTTCGTATCAGTCACTCTTTCCCTTTCTAATTGCTTCAATGTTTCCAAATTCCATTTAACTAATCCTAAATATATCATACCAAACCATCCTGCACAAAACACGACATTCCCTACAACGTATGCATCAGGATATCGCTGTGGTGGTGGAAGAAATAGTTCTAACAAGTGAAAAAGAGTAATAGGCATATAAGTGGACAGAGGGAGCATCGCGGCAATGACTGACAATTTGGATGAGGAAAAGGTTGTGAATGCAGTAGACCGAAAGAATAGAGTTGACGACAGCGACGAAGAGAAGAACCAATTGTATAAACCGAATAAAACAAAGTACGGAATAGTCAATCCATCTTTTTTAAGCAATGGGTATAAACTAAAACGAAAGAATATGTTATCAACAGGGAGCTTTCATAACCATCATCATACTTTCTGCCTTCGAGCATCTCACTCACCTGAATAATCCAACACTGTTTACCCACACGACCATTTTAGACATTTTCCATCCTTCGTCTCCAATTAATAATGTAATTGGCATGAGTGGGAGAAGAATCGACTTTTCGTGCACTTGAAACGAAAATAGGAAAAACGCCATTGACACAGCTGACAGAGTGCAGAGAGAGAGAGACGGTTGGTGGGAGTAATAAGAGAGACAGAATGTGACGTATGAAGGGAAGGACGAGAAAAGGAGGGTCGTCAGAAGACTAGGAGAGTAAGAGAGAAGAGTGAGCATATTGATCGAATAACGTTGGTCAAAATGAACGTTTGTTGAACGTCAGTCAACTCCAAATATCGTATCAGCTTTACCTGATTTTTGCCAAGACATGAATCTGAAAAATTTCTCGCAGTTTAACAATAACGTTGAGCGCGCACCAGAAATTTGCCACCTTGTCTTCCCACAGCCCTCGATATAATGGAAATATTCTTATCAACGCTTGTTGTAGATCACTTACTGAGCCTAGAAATGGGAAGAATAGTATCCCTACAGTTACTATTACAGTAATTGCCAATTTTAAGAATAGATTCAATCTGAGAAGCGCGAGTTGTCATATTATTAGTGATAGTACTGATAACATAAAAATAGTATAACCATAGCATCCATACCAATTGATCCTTACTCTGCTTACCCCACGTTTTTGTCTCGGGCGCATATTCCCAATAAATAGAAAAACACAGGAAGGGCATAATACAAAGCCATTTGTTTGAAACATAAAGCGAGGCAGAAGAACATGCTTCCAATTACATAGTATCCATAAAAATAGCAATTAATAGCCCATATGGTGAGTCCTAGCATTATTGAATTGTATCTAAAATAAATGTAAGCTTGATATGTGAAATAACCATTAAGCAATTTGATGATAAAGTCCAAGGATACTGAAAGTGTCCGTGATCAATCAGTATTAGTGACGGTTGCATTACTATCAAGAAGAAATAGAGGAGCTAGATCGGATGAATAAACGTCAATATGCGTGGATTATTATATCAACGTTTTTACACGCGTTGTACGTAAAACATTCTAAATTATAATTATCAACACTCTTACCCGTTCTTTCTGTGTTGATTTCTTATAATACCATTTAACAAATACATATACTGCTGGTATATAAATAATATATTCTGATGCCAGAACAGTCATTCTCATAAATACTTTGCTATCTGGGCTCTCGTGTCCCCGAGACTCATCCAATGTAAACCACTTTGGTTCAATTGCTGAGCCGCTGAAATAAAACGATTATGAATTGAATCAAAGATCAACTGCAATATATGACGTTTCTCTACATACATTTTCCCACATATCCAGCTGACATAGGCGGTGAGTGGTGGATAGTCTAATCCCCACCAATCAAGATCATAATAATACCACTGCTCAATGGGCACATGTAAAGTCAATTCCATCCAATGCCTCTGAGCTTCGTAGTCACCATATTTGGGAGGCGTATCATATCCTGGTCGATGTCAAAACGGAAATACAAACAGATGTGTCAGAGATATCTTACAGACTATCATCATATCACTTTTCTCTTTCTCATTGTTTCACTAACCAGAATATCCCCACAGTGCAATACAACATCTAATAAACAAAGAGAACAGTACAATAATATACAACATCCATTTCAATATCCCCACATCCTCTGACCATGTGAGTATCTGCCACGCTGGAGAATCATGGTAGTAGAATGAGAATGAGGAGGGAGTAGTTGCTTTAGCTGATGTGGTCGCTTTGGCTGATGTGGTTGTCTTGGCTGATCGTATCTTTGGCATGATCATAGAACAAATATTTCAAAGCATATCAAATTTATATCATGTGATTTACGGTCAGAAATTTTGCAGATCAATTCTAGAATAATCTGCATAAAATCTCGAAATCTTATTGGCGCTCGACACTGTTAACAGAGAATTGATCAAATACCGTAAACTCTCATGAATAAGGGCCCCCCTTCATCATATAAGGGGGCTCTTATTCATGGATGGGTTGGTTGT